CCCATAGGCCTTTGACATCTTTTTTGGTTGCAAGTCTCACTTAACCACCAAGGTAATACCCTACTCATTTAAAACTATCTTTCCCTTCTAAGAAGTACATAGAATAAAAAGAGAAATGAGGTGGAAGAAGAAGAAGAAGAAGAAGAAGAGAAGGTATTGTAGTGGCTTCTTTCTATGCAAAAGAGAAGTTATTGCAGCTCTACAAAACAAAATTTGAAGGCCCGATAGTCATGGATAAGACAAGGTTTAGATTGCAGGATTGGGTTCGATCTCTCCTTTTCTTGTTGTTATGTGTTTATTTAATGAGTTTCTATCCTCAATTGTTGATACAAGAAGGGGGGAGAGAGAGATGATTGAATAAATTTGGGGCATGAAGATTTGGAGCAATTAATCTTTGATATTGGGAATATGCATGACAGTTTGAGGTTGATGCCTAACATCAAAGGAGGGAAATGGCGTTGGCCATGAAAGTAGTTGAATGTTTGGGGATAGAAGTGGCAATGATATTAGGGGTGGCATGGGTGTGTTGGGTGAGGGTTGAATACCAACCCACCCATATTGGCCCACCAACCCACTGTGACCCATCATCAATCCTTGTTAAAGGGTCATAACCCACCCTAACCCACCTATATTGGCTCACTTAACCCATCCATATTGACCCTTAACCACCCTCACCCATCCTAACCCACCTACTCTCACCTATAAATACCAAAATGGGTCGGGATAGCCCATATACCCAAATAATAAATTTTGAGAGAATAATCTCTCAAGACTGCCACATGACAAAAATGAGTCAGGTCAACCCATATACCTGAAAATGCAAAAATTGTAGATAAATGCAAAAGATGGAAAAAAACCAAAAAATTGTAGAAAAATACCAAGAAATTATGAAAAAAAACTAAAACATTATAGAAAATTCAGAAATTTTGTAGAAAAAATCAGAAAATATGCAAAAAATACCAACAAATTGTATGGAATGCATGAAAAACACCAAAAACAAAATGAAAAGATTATGCAGAAAAACACAAAAAACTGTAGAAAATGTAGAAAAATACAAAAAAGAACAAAAAATACCAAAAATGCAAAAAAAAATAAAAAAATTGCAGAAAATGCAAAAATGCAAAACTTTTATAAAAGTGCTTTCGCAAAAGTACTTTTATGAAAGTACTTCTATAAAAGTGCTTTCATAAAAGTGCTTTTGTAAAAGCACTTTCATAAAAGTGCTTTTATGCTTTCATAAAGTGCTTTCCTAAAAGTACTTTTATAAAAGTGCTATAAAAGTGATTTTATGTTTTATAAAAGTACTTTAATAAAAGTGCTTTCGTGTAAAAGTGCTTTCATAAAAGTGTTTTTGGAAAAGTACTTTCATTAAGTGTTTTCATGTAAAAGTGATTTTGTAAAATTACTTTTGTGTAAAAGTGCTTTTGTAAAAGTACTTTTATAAAAGTGCATTCGTGCAAAAGTACTTTTGTAAAAATCCTTTTCATAAAATATATTTTATTTCACTTTTAATCTCAAAATGAAATGTGGCGTAGTGGTTCGAAAGTCTAATGTGATGTGGCCACGATGAGAGGCATGAGTTTGAATCACTACAATTTCTAATTTTTGAGATTTGGCGAATATAGATAGAGTTGACTTTGACAACCCATCTTGACCTGCCCGACCCAACCCATCCTAACCCTAATGGGTACCCTCGATCCAACCCACCCTGACCCTTTTTCACTAACCCTAATGGGTTACTCGACCCATATTGATCCACCAATAGATTGGGTGGGTTTGAAGGTGGATGAAT